GCTTGAAGGAACAAAGCAAACACATTTGCTATTTGTTTGTTCATTTGTTTTATCCTCCTTCACTGGTGCTTTTTCTCAGTGTTCCTTTCTGGATCCTTCCTTCTTCCTTCCCACTGCACTGAAGAGAAATTTGCTCCTTAATTGTCTACTCTGGCTCCTATGTTACCGGCTTCTCCCACTCTACTATGTCATCTTTATTACCTTACCAAGATGTTCCAAATCTCCTATCTTTTAAAAAGAAGAGAAAGGAAGGGAGGAGGGAGGAAGGAAGAAAGTAAAGACGAAAAGAAAAAAGGGAAGGGACTTCCTAGTTGTATGAGCTTGGGCAAGTTAACTTCAACTCTCTGCCTCAGTTTCCTCATCTCCAAACTGGGAATGATAATATTAGTACAGATTTCATGTTATTGTGATAAATATTTATTTATTGTCTACTGTATGTTGAAGATAAAGTGGTGAAAATTAAAGGCATGTTCGCTGGCCTTATGGAACAACTGTGAAGGCATCTTTGACCCCAAATCTAATTTATCAGTAAATCTCTGTGGCTCTAGTTTCACAATATTTCCAAAATGCTACTGCTTCTCCCTTTGTGAACTGTTATCACCTGGCTTTCACTCGTATCCCCTGGTCTATCTCCATTATTACTCTATTATTGCCGTGGACCCCTAGTTGCTATCTTTGCCCTTGGACCATTTATTCTGTTCTCAGCCCTGAAGATAGCACAATCAGTATTTTGCTCAAGATCCCCTAATGGCCTCCCATCTTATTCAGAGTAAAAGTCAAAGTTCTTATAATAATCTACAAAGCCCTACAGGATATATTTCTGCCTCTTCTACCTTACCTCTCCAGCTTATCTCCTGTTACGCTCCCTCTGCTTGCTCCTCCTTAAGAAACTGGCCTCCTCAGTATTTCTCAACTATGACATGTGTTCTGTTACCTGAGAATTTTTGCACCGGCTATTCTATCTGCCGGGAAAGCTCTTGCTTCTGATAGCTACATGTCTTGTATCCTACTGAAGGATTTTGCTGAAATGTCTGCTCATTGACGATTTCCTTCAAAAACTGCAGCATCCCCCAGTCATACCCTTATTCTTCTCCTCTGCTTTATTTTTCTCCTTACACTTTCCACCAACCAACAAACTATATACTTATATTGCTTATTTTTTATCTCCCGCTCCCTCTAAAATGTAAGCTCCATGAGGGAATGGATTTTTGTTGGTTTTGTTCACTGCTCTATCCCCAGCACATAAATTCTTTGATAAATATTTATTGAATGAATGTTGAGAGCTCATGTTTTAGCAGGAAAAAAAAACATTAGACAACCAATTAAATGATTAGCAATTGTAATGAGTAATTATAATTACAGAGAAAGCTGTCAAGAAAATGGACAAGGTGTCAGGGGAGTATTAACGAGATGTCTAATCTTTGAGAGTGAATCAGAGAAGGCTTCTCAAGAAGTCAGATGTATCTTGAAATCAGGATGTTAGGGTAACTAGACAAACAGAAGGGAGAAGAGCACTTTAAAGTAATTAAGCTATTGGGGAAAATAATAGGAAAACAATAATAAATAAAATTTTTATTATAAAATCAAACTGTGATATATATGTATATATGTGTATATATATATGTTTGCATATATATGTATATATATATCTTTGAGGAGCTTTGAAATAAGGAATCAGCTATTCTGGATGAATTTGGATGTTCATCTATCAAAAGCAGATATAAGATCATGTGATCTCTTGAAGCAACTTTTAAATGAGATTAAATCAGGAAAGATTTCAAGAGAATCACTATTAGCGGATAAAGAGTAGAGCAACTAAACTCTTATTTGGATTAAGAACATTTGCAATCCTTAAAAGTTCCAATTAGGTCTCATGGCCATATAAAGATCTTCAGAAGAGGACAGCTATTATGAGCCATAAAGTCAGTGCTTTAAATATGAAATCTGTGTTTTCATATTGAAAAAATTCTCTTTCTCAAAATACAACTAAACCATTAATGTATCTTTGATGTCTTTATATTATCCTAGGAAAGGAGTGTATATTTATCACACCAGTGATTTGTGTGTGTGTGAAATATTCTTAGTTGGAAGGTAAAGATAAAGTCTTTGAAAATCATTATCACTTCTTTAGCAGTTTAGAATGTCAAACTACTCACTAAAACAAATGGTCTAAAAATAGAAAGGAATATGTGAAAGTGAAATTTTCCTGTAAAGTTTGGGGCATTTGGTTGCTGTAATATAGATTATCATTAAGAATAACACATTAGTCCCAAATCTCAGATGTTTGTTAAAATTTCATATTATCTGAAATACAGAAAATGTTGGAAATATTTCTATTGTTTAGAATAAACTAATTTTTCCCATTTATTTTTGTTTTACCCACTTTTTATATATGAAGTATGTTATTCATACTTAAGAGATTAAGGATCCTACAAGAATAACCAACTGAAATCCCTGTGGCTTATGACAACCAGGATTTATATCTCTCATGGTCTGTGTCCATCACAAACTGGCAGAGAGGCTCTGCTAATTATTGCCATTCAGGCTCATAGAAGCTTCAGCTTGACCTGTTTTCTCAGTCACTGTGGCAGACAAAAGGCTTTGTGATAAATCACAACAGGGGCTCATAATTTCCATTGGAAAGTGACATATGTACACCTAAATAGAGCATACCTGACCCTGATACAAAAGAAGACAGGGGCTGCACTCCTACTCTGTATCTACAAGACCTGCGTTATCTGTCCGCATGTTACCAAACAAGAGGTCCGAGGCGGGGGCAATATCTGGCCCACGTAGGGATGCCAAAAACTGCTAAAGAACAAGGGGCCCCTCCCAAGGACAGAATACTAATATCTCCTGGGCTCTTCTGTCCGCCGCCAATTGGAAAGACATCTGTCAATGCCAGAGATTTGTGAAAAGGAAACGAAATGTTTATTTAATGCTATTCAGGCTTAATGCCGCCACTAAAATATCAAAGTCCTTTAGGGTATACACCTACACCCACACAGCGCTCCCTTCTCCCTCTGTCCCAACTCCGGGAACCGTAAATCAGGAAAAGAACACACGTCCCCTTTTCAGGCCGCTGGCACCATCAGCTGTGTCAGACAGGCAGGATCTCTCTCTAGTTAATCCAAAGTTCTTTGTACCCAGTTCCAGTCAAAGTCTCCCCTGCTTTCCAGGCCACGCGGCCAAAGGGGGCACCCCAAAGCCACGTGGGCCTCTTCTACCAAAGCTGCAGGAGTTCACACTCCACCAAAAGCATGTGGCTTCTTCACCTGGCTGCAGGGATCTCCATTCTGGCAAAGCTTCGTGGTTTTCCCTTTCACCTGGGAAAGAGGGGGTCCGCACCCTGCCAAAACCATGTGGCTCCCTCTTTCACCTCACCAAGAGGGGGTCCTCACTCTGCTGAGACCGCATGGCTCTCCCCTACATGACTCCAGGGGTCCTCACTCTGCCCCAAGCCGCATGGCTCTCCCTTCAATGGCTGCCACGTCTCCTCGTGTCCCAGAGCCAGTCTTCTCCAAGCTCCCACGCAGGCACTGTAACTCAGGGGACCTACCCCTAGTTCCATCCTGGGTAGAAGCCACTCCCTTCTCCCTGGCTCAAAGCATGGCCACAGCTATTTAACATATTTATGAAGCCAGTTAAAGGTTATAGATATGTTAAATAATCATTCTAGAGGTTAGCTGCAAAACTGTTGCTATGCAAAACAGCTCTCAATGGCCCTGGCTCTATTTGTCCCTTCCCCCTGGGGGGGGGGGGGTGAGGACATCTTAATATTTCCTGGACACCCTGAACTCTGGACCTCATTCCAAATTCTTTTCTGGGGCCCCCCTTGGCTGCACCCTGTATCATGTAGCTAAAATGACTACCAAAGGGTTTGTGTGTGTGTGTGTGTGTAAATGTAGCTCATACTTTGAATGGAAATATACTTTCCAAACTGTATATAGATATATATTAAAAAAACCCTATTTTATAACCTTATTATTACTTAATGATGGAAAAATAATCTTTTAAATTAGTTTATGTATGCCAGGTTATAAATATTGCTAAAATTTCTAATATATACTATAATTTTCATCTCTATTTTTAAGCAAGGGCATCTTTCAGAAAGTTTGGTTTACTAAACATAAATAACATTTACAGAGCTTGAATCATTAATTCTATTTTAATGAGCTTCCTTCTGTGCAAGCTAAAAAAAATAGTAATACTTTTCCTCCCACCTTCTAAGTCTTCTAGGCTGGGTTAATAACCAAACTAACAGAGACACATTAACAGGAGAAAACCAGAGTTTAGTACGTGCACGTGGGGAATTCACATGGGCAGAACATCCCAAAGAGAGTGAGGCAAAATCGGGTGTCTAAGACACTTCGTACAGAGGAGAACAGGATGCATGGGAAGAGGGTATTAGATTTCTGACGTGAGAATGGGCCATTTACAGGTAGTAGAAGAAGCACAAACACATCAGGCAGGAAGATCCTTGCTGGGTGACTCAGAAACAATGGGACACCGAGGGCATCTAGCCAACAGGCACCTGCCTAAGGCCCTCTTGTTTACCATACTTAATTCAAATCAGGCTAATGCTGCATTCTAAGATCTTCCAGAAGCAGGTTTCTCTCTTTGAATCTCTTGGGCTGGAAGGGGAGAAAGATCAAAGGTTCTTTTTGAGTCTTTTGTTTCTCAATAAATAGCTGAAAATGAGTATCTCTTTAGAAGCAGCTTTAGGGTGGCTGGGTTTTGGTCTCCTCCATCCTCCTTGTCCTTTTCCTTACTCTTGCCTCCAGAAATTCCAACATTCATTCTAGCACTCCGAGAAAAAATATGTATCTTTGGGCATTCATATATTAAACTAAATTATAATATTTTGTTACATTAAAAACTTTTGTTTCTTCAAATCGTATAATCACACATGAGATGACTAGGAAATGAAAACACTGAACACATTAAGGTTTTATAACTTTTTAAAAAGTCTATTAATGATATTTCTTTTCCTTCTATAGGTATTTCATGATGTTGCTTACAAAGCTAAGGATCGTAATGACTTGGTATCGGGAATTGATGAATTTCTGGATCAGGTTACTGTCCTCCCTCCTGGAGAATGGGATCCGAGCATTCGTATAGAGCCTCCAAAAAATGTTCCTTCCCAGGTATGTATATTTGAAAATACTCAAAAATTTCATAATTTTTGCCTCTTACAAACATCTACCAAAATACTACAACCTATCAAAAGGATTCAAATGATTTAAATTATAATCCCTGTGATATTGTGCTGTATAGTAAGAAATACAGACTTGGAGTTCTTCCTGCTTCTGGCACAGAATTCCTAAAACCTTTGGGATTTCCTGTGCCGAGAGCATCAGAAGTGCCTTTTGTTATGTTAAGGAGGTGGCTTTTGGAACCGCCTTTAGATGGGGGCTGATTGCCAATGAAGTCAAGCACGTGATTAGCCCACCTCCAGGAAAGGAGCAGGGGTGGGAGATTTAGTTCAATCACCAATGGCCTGGTTTAGTCAGTCATGGCTATGAATGAAGCCTGCATAAAACCCCAAAGAGATGGGGTTTGGAGAGCTTCAAGATTAGGGAACACATGGAGGTTGAAGAGAGTCAGGCACCCGGAGAGGAGAGGACTGGAAGCTCCTTGCCCTTGTCCTTGCCCTTTCCCTATACCTTGCCTTACACATCTCTAACACCCGTGGTTCCTGAGTTATATCCTTTAACAATAAACTGGTGTCCTAGTAAGTAAAATGTTTCTCCGAATTCTGTGAGCCACTCTAGCAAATAGGTTGAAGTCCAAAGAGAGGGTCTGGGGGGAACCTGTGATTCCCAAGTCACTCAGAAGCTCAGTTAACAACCCAAGATTGCAACTGGCATCTGAAGAGGGGGTGGGGGTGAGGGGCCCTCTTGCAGGACTGAGCCTTCAACCTGGGCTACCTGATGCTGTCTCTGGGGAGGTAGTATCTGAATTGAGTTGAATTGTAGGGCATCTAGCTGGGGTCTGGAGCATTACCTGTTGGTTTCAGGAATCCCCCTTCTCTCCACTTCAGAACTGGTACCAGAAACTAACCTTTAATGGCAGGGGCATGGAGTTACAAAGTCTTCCTGATTTTATCCAACATACCTCACTGAGAAATTTGGTGTATGGATGATATGCTACTAAATCAAACAGTCCTCTATGCCTGGAAAAAACTTTAGACCCACCTTAAAACATATTATACGGGAAGAAAGTTAAACTTAAATAAAGACATAAAATATGGTCAAGAAAAAGCCCATTACTGTCTTCCTCTATTCTGATGCATCGCTTTGAAGTTAGCATGTATTAGGAAAATCAGAGGCATGGCTTAATCATATTACACAGAAAACCCCCTGTTACTGATATGGGAAACTTTGAAAAACCTCTGTTTAACCTTTATTTGCCCAGGCCCCAGGCACCCTAGGGAGAATGATGGGGCCGTCTGGGTGGCCAGATAGTCAGTAGGACTGGAACGAGCACCCCCGCTGATAGAACAATTATCACATTCTGCTTCTGTATCCCACGTTTGTCACGTAGACAGGAAGACCCCTAAGCTATATAACCCTCCAAGAATCCTTTGTTCGGGGCTCAGAATTTGGATACTGACTCCTCTGGGCCCGTGCACGTTAAGAAATAAATCTCGTACTCCAGAATCCCTCGGTGTTTGGTCGCTTCATTTTCCTGCAACATTACTGCTAATCATCTTAGTGATTGGGAAGCATTTTAATTAAAATTTATATGTTTATATTACTTTTGTGTGAGTACATGTCATAAAAATTATAAAAATTCTGCCTATAAAAATCTAATGTGCATGTCCTCGTTATATAGAGAATCCAGAAAGATCCAGAATTGCAAAGACTGTTGTGATTAGTTAGGGTTACTTCATTGCGGGCATGACTTTGTTAAGATTCACAACCAAAGGTTTGTTAAGCCCACTCATAGTGTCACCTCTCTCTACTGAATCTGCCTCCTCCTACCGTCCCAGTTGTCATCCACTCAGCCTTGTCTTTGGCTCTTGTCCCTGTGGAGTCCAGGCTGGTCGGACTACACTACACTAGTTGCAGTAACAGATGGCCTCACTGGCCCACCCTGGACAGAGACGTTCTTCTGGTTAGCCAGAGGTGGGCAAGTGGGCAGGTACACCACTCAGACATGAGTGTTTTAAAAAGTCTCCTTAATCCCACTATCAATTTTCGGAAAATAAGCTGATGTCTATCTTATGTCTGTATTTTCATTCTGAAGTCATTTTGTAGCATTGAAGTTAATTTTCTTGGCAATTTTAATTTTGTGATTCTATAAGTGCAGCCACATAGTTTTAGTTGATCCGCTACTAAAATAAAAGAAGTTGCTTAAGGCGGCCCTAGCTGACATGGCTCAGTGGAATGAGGGAAGACCTGTGAACCAAAGGGTTGCTGGTTCGATTGCCAGACAGGGCACATGCCTGGGTTTCAGTCCAGGTCCTCAGCAGGGGGTGTGTAAGAGGCAACCATACATTGATGTTTCTCTCCCTCTCTTTCTTCTTCCCTTTTGCTCTCTAAAATAAATAAAATCTTAAAAAAAAAGAAGTTGCTTAAGGAGTAATTTTAAGACTTATCATTGTCTTATTTTTGTGCTTATATTCATACATTTTTGTACTTACAATAGTAGAAAAAGCAATAAAATGCTTCCTGAAGTACTAAGAAACTCTTTAATTGATTTTATTTGGAAAATGTAATGACAATATTAATATATCGAGACTGAGACTTTAAAAATTACTTTTTAATACTAATTAGTTTTTCAAACATTAAAACTGAAGACAAGCATTTTTGAAAACACCTTGACTTTGAGGAATGATGTTATTGAGGCAAGTTGAAGCATGGGGGCTCTGTATTTTTTAAATTATTTTTATGAATCTCTACTAGAATTTATGGGATTCTGAATATTGGGAGGTAGTAGTGGAAAGAACATTGAGTTAAGAATTATGACACCTACATTCTGCTAATATCTATTTGTACAACCTTGAACAATTCTCTAACCTGTCTGTATTGATGTTCTGTGTCAGCATGTCCAAAAGAACTTCCTGCAAGAACAGAGCTTTTCTATGTTTATGATATATAATAAGCCAGGCCACTACTAATCACTAGAATAGTGCCTGCTCCAACTGAGGAAGTGAATTTTAAACTTTAACTTAAATTTAAATTTAAATAGCCACTTGTTTTTAGTGGCTATCATATTAGCACAGTTTATGCTGCATTTGAATTAGATATAGTCTGTATGCTTCTGTACAAGATTAAGATTCTTTTTTTTTTTTTTATCATCTTTAGAGGGGAAGGGAAGGAGAGAGGGAGAGAACCATCAATGTATGGTTGCCTTTCGTGCGTCCCCTGCTGGGAACTGGCCTGCAGGGAACTGGTCTGCAACCCAGGCATGTGCCCTAACTGGGAATAAGATTAAGATTCTTAATGTATATTGTAACATACTGTTAACCCATGTTTTCTTTTTTTGGATGAAGCAAACTGAATTCAAATGTATTAAGCACTCTAACTTCATACTTATTCAGATCATATTCCCCCCATGGGCTTCTTTCCATGGTTGTTATTCTTTTGAAATGTATAAAAATGGACTTTTAAATACTTTTCTTTTCAGTTAAGAGAATAACCAGTCACCTCAATGATGACCCTAGAAATATCATTAGAACTTGTATCAGTCATTATAATCACTCCCTTTTGTATACTCTCAACTTCTTTCCTTCTTTCATGCCATTTACTAGCTTGTCAAAACTACAACCCTGTGTGAATTCAGCTCTTTCGTCTTACCTGTTACAGCTGAATGTGGCTGAGAGAAAATGCATAATTACACTGACTGATCCCACATAATTCTTGACCACCTACCTCAAGTGAGCTCTTAATGTTGCAGATTCATCAGATAACCTTAGTCCAATCATTCTCTCTAGATGACATTTCACACCTGCTTTCTGTCCTCAAACCCTCATCATATCCTTTCTGACCTTCACTCTCAGATGTTGACTTGCTTTCTATTTCCCTGAGAAATATGAAATGATTAAAAGAATTTCCAGACTCCCACCACCACCCCTACCCACCTGCCGACATCTGCAGCCACATACTCTGCCTCCTGTATAACACTACTGATGGATTATCCAAGGTCAGCCTTCTCCCAGTGCACGAGACCCCATCTCTTCACACCAACTCAGACATTATCATATACCAATTCTCCTTTTTCTCCCCTATATCATCAGGTTTTTGTTCTGTGTTATATCATTTTTGTTAGCATCCAACATTGTTAAATTTAAAAAAGAATTGTTAGTACTGCTTGCACTGCAACCAAATGCCACCAGAAAGTTTTCTGTACTACCTGCCTCTAATTCCTCTCCTCCAATTCTCTTAAACCTACTCAAATAAGTCTTTTGACTACATCAATCACTTTGCTAAATTTACTTACATGAAAGTCACCAAAGATCTCTATAATACAAAATTCCATGGTTAATTCTCAATATGCATTTTATTTAGTCCATCAATCAGCAGCATTTGACAGAGTTGATAACCCCTTGCTCTTCTTTCTTGGCTCCAAAACACCACACTCTGTAAGTTTTTCTAGTCGCACCTTGGTATCATCCCTCCCAGTCTTCTTTTTGCCTCCCCCTCTTGTCTCTGATTTCTTTATGTTGAAGTGATACGGGACTCAGTCTTTAGTCATGATTCTCTCTACTACCTGTACTCATCCTCTTGGTAATATCTTTCAATTTCTAGCTTTAAATCCTCTCAAATTTATTTTCCTCCTTGAACTTGAAAGTTATTTATCCAAATGCTTATCTATATCTCCACTTGGATGTCTTTTAGATATCTAAAACTTAACATATTCTAAGTTTGAACTGAATGGTAAACTGTCTCAACTTTCTCTCCTGTGTACATCTTTGCAGTTTATGTTAGGAAAGTCAATATAATGCTTCCTGAAGTAAATAAGAAACTGATCTTTTCTTACATTTTATTCTGTCTGCACCATCCCATCTTAGTAGGACTAACTCTATACTTCCAACTGTACTGACTCCATGTTTATAGTTGATCAAGCCAAAAACATTTATTATTTTCTCTTATACTTGATTCTTTTTTAACAGAAAATACTCTTGACATTGCCTTCAACATTTATCTAGAATTATACAATTTCTCACTAACATTACTTCCACCATCCTATTTCAAGGTACCATCATAATACTCTTGGACTACCGAAATAGCCTTCTAACTGGTCTTGTTTCTACCCTTGACCTCCAGAATACGTTCTCAACACAGTCGTCAGCCTAACTCCAGGTTAGCTCATGCTGCTCCTGTCCTCAAAACCCTGCACAAGTTCCTCATTTTACTGAAAATAAAAGGCAAACACTTACAATGGTCTATTAAAGCTACACAATCTTGTCTCCCTTTACTTCTCAGAAGTCATGTCCTACCACTTCCTTCTTTGTTCACTCCTCTCCAACCATATTGGCCTTATCGCTTCTTGTTCTTTAAACCCTTCAGCCACACTCCTGCCTTAAGACTATATCCCACTGGCTATTCTTCCTGCCTGAATGTCCCCCAGTTATTGTCATGGATAATTCCCTGACTCCCTCAAGTTTTTCTCAGATGACATTTTCTCACTGAACTTGCCTGACCACTGTATTTATAATTACCACTCCCTCCTCCCCACTGCCCATCCTATACATCATTGCCACCCTTACTCTGCTCTAAATTTTTATTTTCCATAGTTTTTAATCATTCTAGAATACCTTAGAATTAATATATTTATTTGTTTATTGTTTGCCTTCCCCATTAGAATATAAACTCCATAGTCCTGATTTGTTTACTGGTCACAGTGGTGGGGTCTATTTCCTGACACAAATTGACTCTCAATAAGTATTTGTTGACTGAATTAATAAAAATCTGAGTGGTCAAATATCTACCCACCAATTGATTTGTTTTAAAAATATCAAAATATGTGTGTTTCTGAACAAAAATATTTTCTATTATTCCTCAGAATATTCACTGGCATATTAATACAAACTTCTCTTTTCAAAAATTTCCCCCCTTACTACAAAATAAACATTTCTTGAGGAAACAGATTCTTTTGACTGACAAATATCCTCCTGGTTTATCATCTGCCTTATCAGTGTGTACCCTTCCCCATTGGAAAACAGTGAGGTAACTTATCCATTAATGGGTAATTCTTCAGAAGATCCAATAATATCCCTTGCTTTCTAAGACTGGTGGAAGCTAAGAAATTTTTTCCTAGGTGACTGGTTACTGAGCATTCTGATGGTCGCTTTTATAGTCCTCTACTAGTATATGCTCATTATTTACCTATAAAGGTAATTTTTTTATTAATTCACAGAAATCCTTTATTTTATCTTTTCACTTCAGTTCATTGTATCTAATCATATTCCTGGAAAATTGTAAAAATATTAAACAATAAACTTTCTTATATTTGTGCATTTTAAAACCTGTTTTTCTCATGTTTTAAATCTGTACTATTTTATGTACCTATGGTACATATCCTATTTCAAGGTACCATCGTAATACTCTTGGATTTCTGAAATGGCTAATAAAATGTACAAGTTTAAAACATGAAAAAAATGTCCCATTGTACATAAGAGCCTTTGATAATTCACTTTTCTTCTTCATGTTTATAAAAAACATGAAAAACACATTTGTATGTTTATATTATTTAAAAATGACAGTCAAGTAAAAATAATAATTGTGCCATTTCAATTTTTTTTCAATTTTTATTTTAGGCACTTTTGAATATGTTGGTGTGCTTTAAGATTGCCAATAGATGTAATTTTTATGATTTTCAAAAATCTCTTAAAAACAAAAGTAGGTGGAACCAGACCTATGGGAAAACAGCACTCGTATAAACCTCAGTTAATCTGGCATTGATTCAGTTAGAAGCTCCTTTTGGCAATAGTCTTTGGGATCTCTATGAATCAGAAAGGACAATGTTATAAGTAATTCCTTGGGTAGGAAGACATCTCTACCCAAGGAAGACATCAGCTAGAATCTAAGAGGGAAATACAGTTAAAAATAGCTAATGATAATAGTTAATTTGTATCAAACAGTTGAACTATGCCAGGCATATTATATACCGTATCTAACACCTCCTCACCCCAACCTACCCTGGCCCTGGTCACTCTGTCCCCTTCTCTAACTTCATTTTTTCATAGTTATTTCTACCTGATGTAATAGGGTTAATTGCTTGTCTTCGCTAATAGAATTGTTGTTTTTGCTCCCTTTTGAATATTTCTAGCATCCATAACAATAAATGGCACACACTCCATACTCAGTAACTATTAGATGAAAGAATCAATAAATGTCCAAAACCCCATTTAATTTTCACGATCAAATTAATGGGTATGAAACTTTGGGAAACTAGTTAACTTGCTGGAGTTCTTAGCTACGCTGCATATTGCCTCAAGGAGAAAAGTTTGGTTACGTTACTTAAAACTAGCATCTGGTATTCCAAACAAAAACAAGCACACTTCCAACAGGAGAAGAGGAAGATTCCTGCTGTGCCAAATGGAACAGCAGCTCACGGGGAAGCAGAGCCCCACGGAGGACACAGTGGACCTGAACTCCAGCGAACAGGAAGGTGAGTAAAAGGCACACGTATGTGACTTCAAAAACCACATGACATACTATTCTTGTGTGCTAGGAATTGCTGTTTTGAGATCTAATTTTTTAAAATACTTTGAATACCTGTTCTTTGGGAGTAATAATGCCAATTAATTTTATTTCTCTGTAGTTACTGATTGTCATCATTATTAAGTCAGAACAGTGTCTACACCATCCCGTATTATCTTACCCAGTCTTTTATTTTGCTGTGCATAAAATGCATTCACAGATTCTTAGAATGAATAAGAAAACTGTCAGTTGTCTCTTCCAAAAGAGCTCATTGAAAGCTTCAAGTTCAAGATGGAAATAAAAATAAATACCAGGAACTCAGTCTTGTAGACTCTATCTCATTACATGCAAGTAGGACGTATATAACAGTATTTTGTATTTTTATGATTGTAATTTGAAAGAGCTATATGATTTATTTTTCTAATCACACATTTTTGACGAGATGAAAGCTTCAATTTATTTCTTAAAATGGTTCTTTATGGTTTTTTGACAGCTTGTCTCTCTCCAAGCAATGTGTGAGCAGAAAATCAGAAACCCTTGGGTGGGTCTCTCTTCAGAGAATATGTGCACACAGCCTCCATTATAACTGCAGGCAATTGCAAAGGCTTTGCAGGATTGGTACTCCCTTCCCCTCGAGGCCATTTCTTGTACTGTTTTCACTGTGTTTTCCAAGCTGACTTCCTGGTTTCTGACAACTCTGCATTTTAATTCTCCTCTGTTCTTTCTTTTTATCAATGTTTGTCTCTGAGGAAATGTCCTTTAATGTCTTCCTCAGGCTGCATACCTATTTGAAATGGTTCAAACAATTTTTTCCTATTCCCTTTACTAGAAGCATTGTTACTCCTTCTGTTTGCTTTCATATTTTCGAATGCTGTCTTTTTATTTTTGGTGGTAATAGTTTTCTCTCTCTCAGGTGTAACGTGCCACATAGCTTAGATTTTTTTTCAAAGTTCACTTTTCCTTACTGCTTCCTAAATCCTCCCAGGTCACCAATATCCGGTATCTTCGCTTCTCCAGAGTTCTTCCACAGATTCTGTTGCTGACATGGCTTGAAGTATCCATTACTCATCTGCTCTCCCGGAGTTGCTGGTGTACATCTGATCTGGGCTGCTCTTGCACTGTTCTCTGTAATGACCTCCCACTTCCGGATTTAGATTTTTGCCGCTAAAAGCACATTATTACACAGTAATATAAGAGCTATTTATAGACTAATGTATGGTCTAATACGTACAGTGTTCTAATAGAAAGTGCTCTCAAGCCTATAAATATTAACTACTAATGAATAGTTTATAACCCCCTCAAATTCTTTTGGGGATTAGGTGGGATGTAAATCATAACTGAATGAATAAATAGACTAGCAGATCAAATCTACTTTGAATTGGGACTTTGACAAGTTAACAGATCATTCATAAATGATCCCAAAAATAAAAAAAAAGCTTATGTTTTATATAACTCAGGTAGAGGAACCTAAGATGGTGTGTGTATGTGTGTGTGTGTGTGTGTGTGTGTGTGAATTTCACAGGTTCTCTACAAGAGTTTCTGAGTTTCAAATGTCCTTTTTATTTTTTTAATTAAAAATTTACCCTCTCACCCTTTCCTACTCCATATCCCTTTGATGGAAGAAGTCACTAGGAAAGCAAAGGGATTCTATCAACCACGTAATAGTGAGAAAGTTACTAGATATGGTGCTACTATGTGCATGTCAGCCAGTTCAGGGAAATTAAAAATAATATTTAAATTTTTAGTTACTGAAGATGTATATTTATAAGGCAAAGCAAATGTGTTTCTCAAGAGAACAGTCATTTTGGAAGTGACTGTTAGATTGCAAATGAACATTTCTATTTAGAAAATAAATAACAAAAGTTTAATATTTTCTATCATTTAGGCATATTCAGCATATACTGGCAGTATCTTGGAACATAAAATAGGTACTTTTTTAACCTCCATGTAGGAACTTAACCATATAGTCTTATTCATTTGAACATGGAGTTTTTATTCGATGAAGCACAGAGAGCTTTTCATAGTCATGTTACATCTGCATGGTGTTATTAAATGTTCAAAGAATGAGAATATCTGTTCTTTAATGTTCTTATTCCTAATAGACCAGAAACATTTTAGTCCTCAAATTTTAAGCATCACAGTTTAATACTATTTCCTCCCTCACCGCTAATCCTCTTTCAAATCTTTCATGGTGGTTTTGGATATATTTGAAAGAAATGAATTTATACCAAGTAAACTCATTATTATCTTGCAAATGACAGACACTGGGATATATTTATGCAATAATGAGTTCAAATTGATAGTTATAAGTTCTCCTCCTAGTTGCCTTTACCTACCATTGAAAACAACTGTGGAACCTGTCTGTCTCATTCAAAGGCCATTTTGATGCCTGTCTGAAACAATACCTGGTAAGGGTTTTTGTTTGTTTATTTTTTATTTCTATTTTTTTGGCAGAGAGACTAGGTAACTGGAGTCTTGGTTAAACACTGTTTTTTTTCTATAGGCCTATGTTCACTATTGGAGTATAAAAAGGCCACTTTATTCTCCCTCCGTCACTTTCATCTATGTTTATTAAATACAATGCAAATAACTAGAAAATACTGCCAACAATTGCAGTAGTAGGCCTGAGTTTAGCAGTAAGTTGATGTAGAAATGGCACAGAAATTAGAGTAATTCTAAATCTCGTTTGAAATTTGATGAACAGCTCTGAACCTTGTTTGAGAGAACCTGGGATTTTTTTGGTTGTTGACACAATGTTTGGTTAGGAACTGAGGAAGCAGAGGTGCAAAGCCATCCCTGCAGACCATGATAATACATTGTAGCAGGTTAATTAATATTGGGTCTCATCTCGGCTGATGGAAAACCTATACTGTGACCTGGCAACAAAGATAATGAGCATTTTGATTTGTATGTTTTTTATATTTGGATTTCACTGTTGTGTTTCCCCCCCTGTCTTAGGATTTTTGGGGGACTTATTTTAGATATCAAAAGAAAAGCTCCATACTTCTGGAGTGACTTCAGAGATGCTTTCAGCCTGCAGTGCTTAGCATCTTTTCTATTTCTCTACTGCGCGTGTATGTCTCCCGTCATCACGTTTGGAGGACTGCTGGGAGAAGCCACTGAAGGTCGAATAGTATGTATCACGCTTTTCTCTGAAGTTTGAAATTCATCAGTTTTTGAGATTCATAGTTAGATAAGTGAGCATTTATTCTGGATTCCTTTATGAGGACAGATCTAATATACCGTCTGGCAGATAACATCATGTAAAGTTCCTGGATGGCTGGTGGACCTGGTAATCTGCAAGTGGACTATCACATAACAATTAAATCTGAGTCTTTTTTTTTTTTTTTAATTTTATTTAGTTATTTTTCAAGTACAGTTTAAATCTGAGTCTTACACAAGCTTCTCATTTCATCTCTGGCTCCCAATCCTAGGCTAGTTTTAGGCTGTGGAGGCTGTGGAGTTTTAGGCTAGTTATAGACCTCCTCACAGGAGGTCTATATAACCATTTACATAGGCCATGCTTCTGTCCATTCACTTATCAGAAAATATGTAAATTTTTAGTAAGCAAAAGAAAAGCAAGATAAGGAAGGTGGAGAAGGCACATCCCTATTCACTGCCATTCATTTTCTACTGACTGCCTGCCTCTTTTTTTATTCTCTTGTGCCACATCTTGCCCAAGGTTGCTAGGCTTTTCATAGCAAAATAAAAAGAATATCCTCATGTATTTTAAGCATCTCTCCCTAGTTATAATGGTCGTCTTTACGACTTAGATAATGACATAATTTATATCTCTACACAGAGTGCAATCGAATCTCTCTTTGGAGCATCCATGACCGGCATAGCCTATTCTCTCTTTGGTGGACAACCTCTTACCATATTAGGCAGTACAGGACCAGTTTTGGTGTTTGAAAAGATTTTGTTTAAGTTTTGCAAGTAAGTGTTGTATACTTTTGGCCCCTAGCCCCTTTCTGTTTCACTACTGTATTTATAGTTCTCCCAGCATCACATTTGCAGTCTGCTAGGAGAGGTGAAGTGGCTGATTGGATTGCATTTGCCATTTTTGTCTCTCCATGAAAATGAAGAAAAAGTGAAAAGATTTGTGTGTAATGTTTTATAATGTTTGTAAAAAATTATATTCAGTTCTCAACACTGAGAACCCCTGTTAGTCTTATTCCCTTAAATGCTCCCTTTAGACAAAGTCATGAGTTTAGATACTTACGCCATGTGAAGCTTATTTACTTGCGCTTCATGAATTAGACTTTTTCCATCTGTTTCAAATGGTAGCAAGCTGTTAAGTGACCTTCATTCTACTATTCTTTTTCTCCTCCTAGAGAATATGGGCTGTCATACCTATCTTTAAGAGCCAGTATTGGACTTTGGACTGCAACCCTATGTATCATACTTGTGGCCACAGATGCAAGCTCCCTTGTTTGCTATATCACTCGGTTTACTGAAGAAGCTTTTGCTTCTCTTATTTGCATCATTTTCATTTATGAAGCCCTAGAGAAGTTGTTTGAACTCAGTGAAGCATATCCAATCAACATGCATAATGATTTGGAACTGCTGACACAGTACTCGTAAGTACCGTTTCCCCTGTTGGCTGTGAGCTTTTCTTTTTACAAATATTGCTATTGTGGTGAGAAATATGAGGAACTTACTCAGCAGACAGAGTGCCTTAAATTGATTCATAACCTAAATCCTGGACACTCAGAATTGAACAGGATTTTAAAAGTTATCTAATGAGCCACTCATCTGATACTTGAGTTCTCAATATAACAACTCTGCCAAGAACAGCTTTTAGGGATTCTATTTGTCAAGAATTCCCTATTAAGTAGATAGTGAACCAAGGTCAATCTTGCTATATAGGCATTTTGTTTTTTGCAAACTATATATGATTTTGGTTGTTTCAGGGAATTTTCTTTAAAATGTTTTAAAAATAAATTCTATTTTTATTTCATTTTAGGGAGAAGGGCAGGGGAGGGAAAGAAACTTCAGTTGGTTGCCTCTTACATTCTCCCCACTGGGGACCTGGCCCACAGTCCAGGCATGTGCCCTGACTGGGAACCAGACCAGTGACCTTTTGGTTTAATGGCCATTGCTTAATCTACTGAGTCATACCAACCAGGGATCAGGGCCCTTTAAATTTAGTATCCAAAGGAAACAGTGAAAATACAAGATTTCAGATTTAGAGTAATGAGGTGAAAGAGATTCATTGGGTCTAAAAATGTATTAGACTGATATTTGAAAATGATAAAAACCTAAACAAAAATCACTGAATTGAAATATGATGGAAAGAGACATAACTTGAGCTTATGAACATACCATACAATGTACAGATGATGTGTTATAGAATTATATACCTTAAACCTATATAATTTTATTAACCAATATAACCCCAATTTAAAAAATATATATGATATTGCTTTTAGAACTTACGACATTTATGATAGAAGTACTCAGATATTGCCTGTTAAAGTTAATATACATTTTAGGATTAAAAATGGGATCGGACCTATTGCTCTTTCTAGTTTTAGCATGCCAATAGTTTAGAATTTCTCAAAGGCTGTATTTTATGCTGTGTGGACATTATATTGGGTTAGCTAAAAAATCTGTATGTTTTTTTCCATAAAACATAAGAGACATTTCAAATTTTCATAAATAACTTTATTGATTAGGATGTTTTGAATATATCAGCTCTCTCCCATGTGGTATAACGTGATTGTTCTCAATTATGTCTCAATTTGATTATTATCAACTTCAAGTGGTCTCCCCAACCGTGGTATTTTGTCCAGTGAGAAATCTCCAGCACGAAACTTGGCAAACCACTTTGACATGTTCAGTCACAGCACCTTCTCCATACACTGCACAAATCTTATTTTGCATTTCAGTTATTTGTACCTTTCTTGAAATAATAAAGTATAATATCCTGAAAATGTTATGTATTTTCTTCCATCTTCAATATTAAAATGGCTTCACAAAAATTCACCAATTTTGATGTTTAAAAAAAATGCCTGCTGATATGACAGCTGTCATAATACAATCTAAGAAAATTGTTTTAAATGTAAAGACATCTAAGCGCTACTGGAGCCATCTTATGGAAAAAATCCAATCAAATTTTTGGCCAGCCCAATACAAGTCCTTTGTTTGATTTTTGAATGTTTTGTTGCATTTGCATATACATTTTTATGTAGTAAAAATTTTATGTAGTAAAAACATAAAGATTGCATATACATTTTTATATAATAAAAATATATTCTTTATGGGGCAGTTATAACCTCTGCATCAACCACCAATGTTTTTATTAACTGCTTAGATATGGCCTCAAATGTTTTGAAGATTTATTATCTTCCTTTGTTATTAGAGGAAGTTGAAATTATTGAAATCAGACCAAAATAGTGCAGTGTTATAATTTTGTTAAGAAAGATGCAATGATAGAACTGAGAATAATACGGTTTTATTTATTTATTTATTTATTTATATTTTTCAATTACAGTTTACATTTGATATTATTTTGTATTAGTTACAGGTGTACTGCATAGTGGTTGGACAATCATATTCTGTACAAAGTAATTCCCCCAAATTTGAACTACTCACCCAACACCATACATAGTTATTATAATGTTATTGACTATATTTCCTGTGCTGTACTTTACATCCCTGTGACTTTTATGTATCCAACTTGTATTTCTTAATCCTTTCACCTTTTTTCACCCATACCTTCAACCCCATCTCCTCTGACACTATCAGTCTTTTCTGTATATCTATGAGTGTTTCTATTTTGTTTTATTTCGTTCTTCAAATTTCACATATAAGTAAAATTTTATGGTACTTGTCTTTCTCTGAGTAATTTCACTTAGCATAATACTCTCTAGGTCCATCCATGCTATTGCAAATTGTAAGATTTCATTCTTCTTGATGGCCTAGTAATATTCCATTATGTATATGTAGCACCACTTTTTTATCCACATATCTATTGATGGTCACTTGAGTAGTGTCCATATAGTGGCTTTGTAAATAGTGCTTCAGTGAACATAAAGGTTCACATATCTTTTTGAGTTAGTGTTTTGGATTTCTTCAGATAGATGAGGCTGTCCAGGAAGTATCCAGCCATATAATATGAAAAATAGAGGCTTTTACTGAAGATACAAGATACAAGAAACATTGTATATAGGACACTGATGCCTCAGTCCCCTTCAAAGTAGGCACTTTGGGACCTCACACAATTCAAATCGCCATCAGCTGCCCTGTCATATTTTCCTGAATCTCATTGACAGTCTGAAATCTATTCTCTTTCGCAGATGATTTTAGTTTTGGGAAAAGCCAGACATTGCAAGGTGCCAAATCTAGGCAGTAGTGAGGCTGAGTCACCTGGGTGATTTGATGTTTTGCCAAACAACTCTTCATGAGATGTGATACCTGAGTAGGCATGTTGTTGTGATGAAGCTGCTAATTACCAGTTTCCCATAGCTAAGGCCTTCTGAATCACCCAAATGGTTTCTGTGGAGGAATATTCAAGTTGAATGCAAAATTTGATGTAGATTCATTGCTCTACTTGCTCAGTAATTTTGAATGCCATGGCAACACAATACACATGCTCACTCATCAGTGTCTACCACACCCCCTGACTGGTACAGTGAAGTTATCATTGTTCATGCATGCATGTTCCAGTCCACTGTCCTTGGCTCCGTTCATACTGATATTGCACAAACTGTTCTTGTTGTAGTAACAATGGCTGGACTTTTTCTGGACAGACCTCATATACACAGAAGTAAAATCACTGCATAATAAAGATGTCTCATTTTTAATTTTTTGAGGAAACTCTACTGTTTTCCACAGTGTCTACACCAATCTGCATTCCTACCAACAGTGCAAAAGTGTTCCCCTTTCTCCACATCCCCACCAACACTTGTTTGTTGATTTATTGATGATAGCCATTCTGACAGGTATGAGGTGATATCTCATTGTTGTTTTAATTTGCATTTCTCTGATGATTGGTGATGTTGAACACCTTTTCATGTCTATTGGCCATCTGTATGTCCTCTTTGGAGAAGTGTCTATTCAGATCCTGTGTCCATTTTTTAAATTGGATTGTTTATTTATTTGATGTTAAGTTATATGAATACTTTATAAATTTTGGATATTAGCCCCTTATTGGATGTATCATTGATAAATATCTTCTTTTATGTGGTAGATTGTGCATTCACTTTGTTGATGGTTTCTTTTGCTGTGCAAAAACTTTTTTAGTTTAATGTAGTCCCATTTGCTTTTGTTTGTTTTGTTGTCGTTTGTTTGTTTGTTTCACTTGCCTGAGGAGTTATATCAGAAAAAGTATTACTAGAGAAATGTTTGAGATTTTACTGCCTATATTTTCTTTTAGGATTTTTATGGTTTTAAGACTTACAGTTAAGTCTTTAATCTATTTTTAAGTTTATTCTTGTATATGATATACCAAGGTGTTCTAGTTTTGTTTCTTGCCTATATCTGTCCAATTTTCTCAACACCATTCATTGAACTGACTGTCTTTACCCAATTGTATGTTCTTGTTTCCTTTGTCAACTATTAATTGACCATATAGGTATGGGTTTATTTCTAGGCTCTCTATTCCATTTGATTGGTCTACATGCCTGTTTTTATGCCAACACCATGCTATTTTGATTACTATAGCCTTGTACTGTAGTTTGATATCAGGCAGTGTGATACCTCCAACTTTGTTCTTCTTTCTCAAGATTGCTGTTTTGTGGTTCCATGTAACTTTTTGGGGTTATTTGTTCTAGTTTTGTGAAAACACCATTGGCATTTTGATAGGAATTTCACTGAATCTATAGATTGCTTTGGGAAGTATGGACATTTTTATGATATTAATTTTTTATCCATGAGCACAGTATATGCTTATATTTATTTGTATCTTCTTCAATTTCTTTCTTTAATTTCTTATAATTCTTAAAGTATAGGTGTTTTACCTCCTTGACTAAAGTTAATCTTAGGCACTTTTTGATACAATTGTAAATGGTATTCTTTTTTTTAAGATTTTATTTATTGATTTTTAGAGCAAGGGGAGGGGAGGGAGAAAGAGAGGGAGAGAGACATCAATGTGTGGTAGACTCTCAAGTGGCCCCCACTGGGGACCTGGCCTACAACCAAGGCATGTGCCCTGACTGGGAATTGAACCAGCTACTTTTTTTGGTATTATTTTCTTAATTTCTCTTTCTGTTAGTTCATTATTTGTGTATAAAAATGCAATGAAATTTTGAATATTTATTTTGTATCCTGCTACTTTACTGAATTGCTTTATCAGTTCTAGTGGGGTTTTTTTTTGTGGAATTGGTAAGGTTTTCTATATATATATTACCGTGTTATCTGCAAATAATGACAGTTTTATTTCTTCCTTTCCAATTTGAATGCCTTTTATTTTTTCTTATTTGATTGCTGTGGCTAGGACTTCCAGTGTTATGTTGAATAAGAGTGGTAAAAGTGGATATCCAGTCTTGTTCCTGATTTTGAGGAAAATACTTTTTTTCATTGAGTGTGTTGAGGTATGTTCCCCCATTCCCACTTTGCTGAGAGTTTTTATCATAAA